CAATGCATTGCGCATCGCGCGTGGTACACATACCGGATGCGCAGTAGGCCCCCTGTGTGTGTGTGTGTGTGTGTGTGTGTGTGTGTGTGTGTGTGTGCACGTATGTGCATGTGATGTGTGGGAATAAAGTTAGCGAGTGCTTCGTGTGCTTGCCTCAATAAAGAAAAGGGGTAGATCCCCAGACAGACTGCTGGATTTGATGCGTACCTCGATTTCGGACTCCTCACAAAGGGTACCATCCTCAACGAAAAGGTCCGGAGGGCACATGGCGCCATACTGCTCAGGCCTGAGCGGAGCACGCCGAGAAGAAGATAGACAGAGTGAGTAACGGCGGGCCCATTGGTGGGTGGCAAGATGTGCGGGATTCCATACCGGCAGGTCTCCGGAACATCACACTCGCCAGCCTTCGGGCGGCAGACGTGCGTGGGGTCCTGGACAATCTGGCAGTTCTGGCAGCAAGCGGTATTCCCGTCGCTGGTTACCGACCGAGGGGTCCATAGGGAGGCAGGGGTAAGTGGTGGGACAAGCGGTAGTGGCGGGTGAAAAAGGCAAAAGGCAGCCATGTCCGACAAGACAAGCGCGTGCGCGTGTTCGTGCGCGCGCAGGGAGGGATGGCGAGGGGGGGGGGGGGGACGGAGCGGGGCAGACAACGAGAGGCGGATCCATGCAGGCAGGAAGGACAGGGACAGGGACAGGGACACACATTCGGACAAAGGGCACTTCCTGATGCGGAAGACCCACAAACAGACAGGGAGACACGCGGAAGACAGACTAAACAGAGGATGGTAACGGACAAAGGCAGGCCATAGGGGCAGCCGCACACACTCACTCGCACACACCCAGACACCCATGAAGCATGCCCGGAAGATGCTTGACGTCGACAGAGAAAGGACTGTCTCCGTGCATGGTCATCACACAACCACGAGCACACAAACTACAACTACCCTGCTGCTTCCCCCTCCGGTAGGAAGGGCTCTGTTTCGGGGCCGAAGCTTCCTGGATGGTGGGCCTCATCATGACCACAGCCCGAGGAATGGCCATGGCCATCGGGACAATCGACACCAACCTGATGATTATCCCCCAGTTGATCCCCATCGAGATGGTCATCATCCAGGATGCCACCGTGGAGGTATCCATCGGCATCCGGACGGCCATCCTCCAGATGATGCGCATCATCCAGATATCCTCCACGCGCCACGTGTCCGTCACTGTTGCCATCATCCTGCGGATGAACACCTTCGTGGCGATCATGCTGGATGTCGACTTCATAAGGATGGCGAACATTCGGATCGTGGCTGTCGGGCAAGCCCCCATCTGGGGCGTAGATATCGGAGTGGATGCCATCACGAGTGTGATTGCCTGGGGGGCCATCCATAGGGTCGTCCTCAAGAGGAAGGGACTCCGAATCACCCGTGTCAAGGTGGCCAGCTGGATGACTTCCATCGGGATGGTTGCCAGGGCAATCATCAGGATGTCCGTGAGGATCATCGTCCGGATGCCCGTGAGGATCATCGTCCGGATGCCCGTGAGGATCACCATCTGGGTGGCCATCCGGCCAACCTTCGGACCCATGCCTGGATCCGCCTTCGGAGCCGCCCTCCGATCCGTCTCCCGGTTCGCTGTCAGAGTCAGAGCCGTACCTGCAGTTGGCACCAGGCTTCAAGGTGCAGTCGGAGTTGCAGCAGGGGTGATCCATGCAGCCAGTCTCGCCGCCACAGTCACACTCCTCCGGTAGCTCCCAGATACCATTGCCGCACATATTCCGGTTGAGCAGCTCTCGACCGCCGGGGTCCGCCAGACAGCTGCTCCTGTCCGAGGCCATTCGGCTGCAAATGACCCGCTGCGAACACTCAGAGAAGCTGCTCTGACTGCTGGACGAGAGGGGGTTCATAATATACTGCTGCGCGCAGTTGCACCCATCCGAAGCCTCGGAGCACCGACAGCACTTGTCACCCTTCGGGCAGTCGGAGTTCATGCAGTCGTGATTGGCACCTGAGGGAGGGAGAGAGAGGGAGAGAGAGGGAGAGAGAGGGAGAGGGAGGGAGAGGGAGGGGGAGAGAGGGGGAGAGAACAAAAGGGAGGAACAGTGAATACGGCATGGTGGAGAATCAACCGAAAGGGAGAAGGGGGACACAGGCAAGGGAAGCATGTGCGTGCGATGCATGCGCACCGAAATTGTGACCAATCTCATGGGCCACAATCAGCCACTCCTCGGAGGTGGGGGTCGACACGGCAGTGCCAGACACGTAGGAGCTGCTCTGCGCAAAGGACCGAACTTGACAGAGCATGTTCACCCAGGCAATGCCAACCGTATTTCCAGAGCTAAAAGAGAAGGGCCAAAAAGCAGAGGGACGGAGAGATAAACGGAGTCACAAAAAAGAAAGGCAAACCGAGTGAGTCGACAGCCACCCAAGGAAAGAAGGCAACACCGCTAAGGACAGCAAACAGCGGGCAGAGAAAGAGAGAGCGAAGGAGGGTGTGGGAAACGCACGCGCAGCGACTCATCAGATGCCAAAGGCCGGCCTCAGTGCCGGTCTCCGGCTTGTCGGAAGACAGCCCTCCACGCCAGTGGCTGAAGTCACTCAGGCGCTCGGCGATGTCATACTTGTCCATGCAGCCGCGATTCCAGGATGGCTGGTCGCTGCAGGAGAGACGAATGCTCAGCTCGATGACACCGAGCGAGGTATGGAAAAGTGGCTCGTAGACATTGTTGGCCATTTGCACGTTGTTGAGGATGTACTCGGAGATGTCCCTGACATCGCCACCACGGAAGGTGGAGTAAGTGCAATCGGAGGCGAACCCCATGTACAGGACCTTGGGGGTCAGGGGACACCCGGCAAAGGGAGCCATGGCACGGACTTCCTCCAGACTATAGGGGTTGTGGGTGAGATGGGAAACATGCTGCGCTGCAGCCTGGACGTCTGGCATGAAGCCATCCTCCTCGGCAGAGGGGGTCTCCAACAAGGCAGACGCATGCTCATGGTGGTGATCATTGCCACAGGTGGGAACCGGGCCGCCAGGGATCAACTCCACGTCCGACTGGCGGAAGACCACCATGGACACATCGTCCGACACGATCAGAGTGTCGTCAGCCTCCGCGGGGAAGGATTCCTCGTCGACATGCTGCTCGGTCGGCTCGGCAGTGGCGGTGGCGGCGGCGGCGGCGGCGCTCGACCGCGTACGCACGGCCTTTCGCCGAATGCGGAAGAAGGCCCCATCCATGGGCTCCGGCTGGGTGCTGAGGAAAGCATCTCCCTCGGAGGGAATGTTCCGGCTTGAGCGCGCGGCACTCGAGGGGATGTAGTCCTCGGTCGGCAGCTGGGACAGAGCCGCCCGCTCGAAAGTCAGACGGCGCTGGATACGGAACAGCCGGTCGCCCGACCGATCGGCCGAATGAACGACAGAACGCCGCGCGAAGGCCGACCCCTCGGGGGCATGGGAGAAGTCCACCAGCCCTTCGAGGACCGCAGTGCCGGTCGCCGAATCCAGGTGATGGATGGCCACCCGGGCGGAACCCTGCCCGAGGACGGGATGCTTGGCGGATCCACTGTGTGTGTGTGTGTGTGCGTATTGGAGAGGGAAGGAAGATCGGGAGAGGAAAGGAGAGTGAGGAAGAGAGAGAGAGAGAGAGAGAGAAGGGGGTTGACTTGAATGGCCCATCGGCGTCAAAGGAGAAAAGAGCGAGATGGCTGTGTACCGGTAGTAGATATGCTCGAACTTGTCGGTCATGTCGACCATCTCGCCGTTGGGACCCTCAGCCTTGAGGACGCATGGATTTTTATGGACGTGTGTGTTGGGTAGAGGGCAGGAGGGCAGGGAGAAGAGGAAAGGGAGTGCAAAGGGGGGCGGGAGGGGGGGGAGGGGGGGGGGGAGAAAGGTCGAGATGGAAGACAAACAGAGGCGATGTCAGTGAGGCGCCATGGCACATGCGCGAGTCCTGCGCCAGCGGACAGAAATAACGAGGCAGCCATCCGGAAAGCACCTTCAACACGAATCCCGGAGCAATGAGATCCTTGTCGATCTCCAGCTGAAGATCACACAAGGATCCCTCGTCCAGCGGCAGGGAAATGTCGATCCGATCTCCGTAACGCTGGCGGATGGCCGTCGAGGCGGGATTCCGGCGTTCATGCTTCACTCGGCGCGCGCTCAGCGGGCTGGCCAGCGAGTTGACAAAGGGGAAGGATCGGACCTCGACCGAGGTGAAAGCCTCCGCCTCATGGTACGGGTTGGAGTGGTCCTCAAAGTCATGCAGCGACCGCCGAGGGTCGCGGACGACGAATCGCGCAGTCAGCTGGCCCGGCGTGTTGGTTGGAGCCTGGCCTGGCGAGTTGCCATCCTTGTCTGCGGAGTGGAAGAGCTCGCGCCGGGACAAACGGTGCGACGCCTGCGGCGTAGGAATGACCGCCAGGCGTCGGAGGCGGTGCGTCGGCTGGAACTTATTGTCGAATGCTGGGAGCAGAGCCACGGCCCGAGGGAGGGGTGAGACGCCGCACAAAACCCGAGGACAAAGAGGGAGATGGCCTGGGGGAGGATGTGAAAACGCACTGTCCGGGTACTGGGTATTCGGGGGAGGGATGGCAGCGCCCGGGGTCGGGAAAACAGCCACCAACAGCATGGCCAGGGTCGCCATGAGGGCGACGACCTTGCGGACGACCCGCGTGCTTGGGGGCACTACAATGGCAGGCACATTGGGGCAATCCATCTTTCTTTTTTTTTTCGAAGAAAGAAAGAAGACAGGAGGGAGGAGGGAAGCAGTCAGCAGGCGTTCCCTCGGGCCATTCGTAGCGGGGCAGCGGAGTGTCTCCTCGCTCGTGGAGACTCGCTGTCTCTCTCGCTTTCTCGACGTGCGGGCTGGCGAACAGGAGCGCAGGGGGGGCGGGTGCAGGGACTGGGGTGAGGGGGCCAGGGAGCCGGAGCTAGTAGGGGGTTGTGGAGAGAGAGAGAGAGAGAGAGGGGAGGGGGAAGGGATGGAGGGAGAAGCAGTCTACCATGGCGCCTCCTGCGTGATGAAGGACAGGCCCACTTTAAAGATCCCCCCGGACCATTTGGGGCTGACCGCCCACATCGGGGGCGAGGCGCGATCTGCCTGGTGTATGCGGCGACCTCGATCCGGCAATGCCGCCCACCGGCAGGAAGGGTCAACAACGCCCACACAGGCCGAGCCCTGCGCGGAGAAGGTCCCCCAAGATCGAGTCCGTGCACACACGCGCGCGGGAATTGATCCGGCCGAGGCACCCCCTTCCTCGGCCGGATGAGCGCACGCGAACGGTTACCGAGGCCGGACGGTGGGTCTCTTTCGAGTCGACAAGGCCCGGGGACCATCCGTCACCGGTGGGGGGGG